TGTAATTTTAACAAGTTTCTGGGCTATGATGGGGCCTAAAACCTGACTAAAATTCTTCATGGATATAATTTTTTTTGCAGGAACGAACACAATTGAGCAGACTCAGCTTTTTCTAATATTTTAGACATAAATGGAAGATTTGAAATAGGTCTGTAATTTTCCAGTTCACTAGGATCTAGTTGAGTTTTTTTAATAAGAGGTTTAATAGCCGCCAACTTGAAGGGACTGGGGATGTGACCTAGAGATAATGATGAGTTAATATTGAGAAGCGGTTCTTCTGCAGCAGGTAACAAATCTTTCAGTAATTTAGTAGGTACAGGATCTAATAAACATGATGTTGGTTTAGATGCAATGCTAAGTTTAATTAGCTCTTCCTTTCCTATAATTGTGAAGCACTGCAATTTTTCTTTAGGTGTGAAACTGAATAAAAATCGAAACTAAATATCTGGGTCTATACGATCCTGTCTTTTATCTTTTAAACGGTCCAGGGGTGTTTCCCAAAAGCATCATTAGCTAACTATGGTTGTTCCAATAGAGTTCCATTGAACTCTATTGGTAACGACAGAACTTGCTACCATAGTTGCTTTTGGGAAACGCACCCCAGATTGGTACTATATCCTTGAAAGCTGCTGGACTTGATTAGTTTTGACTGTGCAAAGTTCTGTATTATGTTCTACAATGTACTTCACGAAAGACTTCCTCTAGTTCTGTGTGAAGTTAAAGTGAGACACGAATGTAAGCGTATTATTGTTGTTGTTAACTTTTTATTGTTGGATTATCGTACAGTATGTATCAATGAATGACAGTTTTGACTGTCATGGTGTGTGCATGAACGAGTGTGAAATACCTGATAATTGCTTTTCCCAATCACTTACACTGTATATTGAGCACTTTTTGCATTTAAATTAGGCTTATTCTGACAGTTGACATTGAAAATGATGCATGTGTTTTTTTCGAGGGTATCGGTTAATTTCTTGGTTTCTTTGGGGTCACGAATGGGATCCGTCTGTCAGCGGATCCATCTCTGTGCAGATATATTAAAGGGTCTGGTGACAGACGCAGCTTTCAAACGCTCCCCTGTGCTTCTGTGTGAGTGCTCGGTGAAGAGCGTGAAGCGATGATCATTGTAGCCAATCACAGTCATATCTCTTAAGTGTGTGAACACTATGGCCAATCAGCGGTGTTTAAGAATCTGCTCAACAGCACTCAAAAGTTAGCAGGAAATGGATGATTTTAAAATTACAGTACCGAATGGTATCGCGGTCGGTATTTTGACAGCACTATTCCATGCAATTCTAAAAACTTCCAAGTGAGTTTTTCTCCATTTGCGCTCAAGATTGCAAGTTTCTTTCTTGAGATAATGGGTATTATTGTTGTACCTTGGTGCAGTATGTCAACAGCTTCTAATGTATTAGAGAAGATAGTGCCCATATTGTTAGTCGTTTAGTCATTTAGTCTAGTTCATGTGCATTTATGGGTACACAAAGCAGTTGAGACAAATCAAGCAGGTTATTTGTGAATCTATCTTTAGTGGTTGGAACAATAGTTCTACACGGACGATAACATATCAACGATATCAATATAGTTAAAGGCGCAGTAGGAGATCTTGGAAAATGGTTATTTAAGCCTGATAGCACTGAAAGCGAACATCCCGCCCTCCCTGCAATCGCCGTCCAAAGACACGCCCCCTGAACGCATATACGCTCACAGACCAGAATACCAGAGACAACATTACTACAATAGGCTAAACGCTCCCCTGTGCTTCTGTGTGAGTGCTCGGTGAAGAGCGTGAAGCGATGATCATTGTAGCCAATCACAGTCATATCTCTTAAGTGTGTGAACACTATGGCCAATCAGCGGTGTTTAAGAATCTGCTCAACAGCACTCAAAAGTTAGCAGGAAATGGATGATTTTAAAATTACAGTACCGAATGGTATCGCGGTCGGTATTTTGACAGCACTATTCCATGCAATTCTAAAAACTTCCAAGTGAGTTTTTCTCCATTTGCGCTCAAGATTGCAAGTTTCTTTCTTGAGATAATGGGTATTATTGTTGTACCTTGGTGCAGTATGTCAACAGCTTCTAATGTATTAGAGAAGATAGTGCCCATATTGTTAGTCGTTTAGTCATTTAGTCTAGTTCATGTGCATTTATGGGTACACAAAGCAGTTGAGACAAATCAAGCAGGTTATTTGTGAATCTATCTTTAGTGGTTGGAACAATAGTTCTACACGGACGATAACATATCAACGATATCAATATAGTTAAAGGCGCAGTAGGAGATCTTGGAAAATGGTTATTTAAGCCTGATAGCACTGAAAGCGAACATCCCGCCCTCCCTGCAATCGCCGTCCAAAGACACGCCCCCTGAACGCATATACGCTCACAGACCAGAATACCAGAGACAACATTACTACAATAGGCTTCATCAGCGGTTCCCAATTCTAGCCCATGTTCCGAAGTGAAGTAAACTTCAATGGATTTCCCCTGCTCAGGGAGTAGGGAGCAATGAACACTGTGTAGGGATCATATCGATCGGAACAGTTCATGCACGTAGCTCAATTTTAACGAGCTGGTTATCTGAATAACTAAGCGAGACATGCAAAATATGCAGAG